GAGAAAACTAGACTTGTTACTCAGAAGAGTATCCCCTGCATCCATAAGCTATTAACTAGTATTAATGTATTAATTAGTATTTTACAGACTTTTATAAAATTCCTTTCATTCATCTTCTTGTGCATGTTATGAACACAATCTTTTCAATCCCTCTTCACACGAGTTTGTCATTACTGTCTTCTAAATACTTATTAGATCTGCAATACCTTCTTTGAAACTGGATGGTTGGTATCTTACACATCATCAACTGTTATCTCATCTAGATTTGTATAAAGACACTAAAAAAGGTTGTGTAGTTTTCATCATCCTATTCCATATGGACCATAACAATAGCATCCCTGGCTCTATTCATCTCTAGTAACCTGCCTCCAGTCCTAAAGAAGACAGTTATGGATATCCTACAGGTAGGATACATGTAGTGTTTAACCTGGCATGTGCAATATTAATTTTTAAAAGATATCAGTATCTGAGGGGAGGGTGTCAAGAGGATGGAGCCAGGCTCTTCTCGGTGGTGCCGAGCAAGGACAGGAGGCAAAGGGCAGAAACCGATGCACCTGAAATTCCAGCTGAATATGAGGAAGAGCTTCCTTACTGTGCAGGTGGACCAAGTGCTGGAACAGATTGTCTCGAGAGATTGTGGAGTCTCCCTCACTGGAGATATTCAAGAACCATCTGGATGCAATCCTGTGTAATGTGCTCTAGGATGATCCTGTCTAAAGACATGACCCACTGTGCTCTCTTCCAACTTTACCTGTTCTGTGAATCTGTGTGTGATTCCTCTCTCCAGCATTAGATCACTCACCCAAAGTTTCCAAGTCTAAGGTTCAAAAACTTCCTCTCCTACAGGAGTTCCTGCGTTCTTACTTGACAGCAGAATACCACAAACACCACGTATTTAAGCCACAGGCAGAATGGGACCAGGCATATTGGAATCCCTCTCACTGAAGCTTTACAGCTGTGCACAAAATTAAGACATATTCCCTAGAAAAGGGACGTCAGGAGACTCACAGCCCTGGACATGGCCCTATTTATTGTAACTAAGTAATTTTTCCATTGTCTTTTGTCAGAAAATATACAAGTCTTGAACACTTGAACAAAAGATGTTACTAAGCTTAATGGACCAGGAATACTGTGTGAATTTATCACTGACAAGTGCTCCCTTAAAAAATGAAAAATTTCAGGTCAAACAGACCCTGCTGAATACAGATGACAGATCTTAATCAGAATTTGCCACCTTCTAAACAGGAGAGAATGGGGCTTGGAGGGCAAAGGAGGAGCAGTAAAGAAATTAGCATCTCCTCTAGCAGTTTTGGCAAGCTGCCTGTCTTTTCCTTCATTTATTTGTCCTTGTAAGTGTTTGAAAACAAAACCCAGTGGAAAGATTAGGGGTTTTCTTTTTGCATTAGCAATCTGTCCCATTTTTCACAATAGCCAGAGTCCCCTTTGCTAGCCAGCATGTTGACTCTGATCCAAATGCCAGAAATGCTCATGGTAGCCAAAGTAACAGCCTTCAGCCAGACCCTAAGCAGTTCCCAGCACACAGTGGGCACCAAATGGCTACATGACTGATGCACATCTGCTCTGTGTGTCCAAAGACTGACTTCTACAACCCAAAGCGAAATATGAAATAAGGAAACTGTCAAGAACAGCTGAGCTTCCCTGATTGCTAACAGAGGGAAAAAATGTTGCTGATGCTTCCTTACATACCTTCTGGCCCCAACCATCTTCTGTCTTTATAGAGCAATGTAAGTTTCTACAGACTTATCCAGGAGACTTTGCAACATCTGGCAATGGGCAAGTGGTAGAGGCTGAGACCGTTCCCATGAAAGCAAATCTGTGCGGCAATAGCTTTTCTCCAAGGAGTAGCATTTGTGCTAATATTAGCATCCCACATAAGGTAGATCAGTTTTGTTTTCCTAGAAGCACAGGATAAATTCAGATTCAGAATAAATTTGGATTTAATTTCACCAAGTGGCCCATAACTTCATAAATGCTGAGCAATCAAGTTGAATTGTCAAGTAGCTGTCCTCTCTACAAACATACAAATCAATACCACTGTAGTGCACAGTGATACAATAGTATAACAGCACTTGTCAGAAGCTCAGTAGAATAACAGCTGTCTAGGTAAAAGCTACTGTGATAGCCCTTAAAAGAAGGCCTGGGAAGCCAGAGTGGTAACAGTTGAGGATGGAGAAACTAATGCTCAACGAAGACCATGCAGATAGAAGGCTTTAATCAATCTCTAGAAAATCAGAATGAGACCTTTTTAGGGACAGGCTATGCTATCTGTCTACTAAACAGCTTTTTGCCTTTACATTAAAAAAAGAATGAATGCTGTTTGGCATCAGTTAATTGCACCTAAAATAAATACAGAAAACCAGTGCCAGCACAGATTTCTAGAGGATTTTGCTCCACAGAATCACTATCTTTTCCCATTTTCAAAATAGAAAAGTGACCAAAAATTGTAAGGCAAGTCATAAGTTAAAAAAATCCCCAAACTCAAACAACAAATGCTAAAGGCCTGGCTCATGACCAGAAAGTAATTCAGAGTCTTTCTGAAAAGGTGATAAGTAAGACTCAGGCTATGAATTTCAGAGGATATGAAAACAGCTAATACTTTTTATGGTACTTTTCATAAAGTATGACAATGCTTCTGAAACTGTAAGAAACTGTATAGAACCTACTTGAGCAGAAAACGTCTGTTAATAATTGAATATGACTGAAAGCAAAATTGAGACATGCTTTCAGAAAATAAGAAAGTGAGCCCCTTCCCTTACCTATGTTGTGTATTGTACCTCAGAACCAAATCCCAAAAAAACTAGGCTCTTGTTGCAAACAATCATGTTATAACTCTGGAAATTGTATTCTTCATGGATAAAGGAACAGAAAGAGAATGGAGAAAGAAGAATCTACCTTACTGGATTGAAATAATCTCTTTGGTGAAATAATTTATAAAGTTCTTATTTAAAAAAACCAAACAAACACAAAACCCCCACAAAAAACTTCTCATTTCACTTGCCTTCATACCACCCTTCATCTCCTTCCTAATCCTCAGTGCATTACTTGGGCAGCAATCACAATCTGCTTCTCCAGACAAATGTCTCGGTCTGCAGGCAGCAGGGACACAAAAGGACTGAACAGGCTGGTGACTACTTTATAAAGTTAAATGGCATTGAAGTGAATATTTATGTGGTTTTTATTGTATCATTTCTGTCAAAAAGCCTCACCTCCTGAAGTGTGGCATTGGAGAATAAGTACATCAAATATATGAAACTGTACCCCATAAGATCCTCCTACATCCCAAACAAACTGAGACATTTTACCCCTTTCAGCAGAGCATACCCCCAACACTGTGGGGATTGCATGTATCTTTTTAGGAAAAGATTATATGTCATTCATTCTTCTATGAGATCCATCTGTGTCAAGCAAGCAACAACGACCAAATTGACCAGAATTACAAACAACCTTCTCCAAGTCCTGCATTTTGACGAAGCCCCCCCCTCACTCACACCAACCCAAGCAGGACACAGTTTGCAAGACACTGCTAAAGAATCTTTTGCCCTGGAAAATGCCAAAGCTGGATGTAGAGCTGTTTCCAAAAACAGGGCCTGGGAGGAAAATAAAAGTGAAGTAATTTTAAATTAGAGTGAGAAAGGAAAAAAAATAGAGGATTCAAAAGAAGACACATCTGAAAAAATTAGTTTCTTTAATTGTAAGGAAAGAACAATATTCAAACAATGGACTTGAAATACAGACATAAACCATAGCTGTTTCACTGAAGCAATTAAGACATTTTGCAGAAAACCAAATGCCAGTTTTAATACATAATGGGCTTGAATTCTGACTGCAGAAAAAGGAAAGGAGTAGGGCTACATTTTGTAAAGGGCAATATGGAGAAGGGTTATCCCCAAACTAAACAGCACTGACATGGAAGACCAGTAGTACATAATGTGTGTCTTTTTAAGGATAAGATGCAGGCACAGCCCTTGGAGCTGCTCCCATCTACAGGTAAAAAGCAAACGCTTGCACGGTCCAACTGAAAAGAAAATAAAAGAAAAATCCCCCAGGTATGTTCATCTACTAAGGACACAAAATCTGCTCCTTTGCTTTCTTCCCACTCCCAACCATCCCCTGCACTACAGAGCCTCTGTATTTAGCTTGCACATTGTCAACATTTTCCAGAACAACAATTATCTTGCAGATGGAAAAGGTATGCAGACCAAAAGGTATAAGCCTAGGATAACAAACAGAGATTGTTTGAGCCTCTCTGCTTGCACTGTGTTCTGAAATAAATCTAGGAATTCTCTGACAGATACTTAGACCATCTTGAAGCTTTACATATTTTTATGAGTGACACCAGATGACACAGTGCTGCTAAAAGGACTAATGATAACACCCATGTTACATGGCACAAGTTATGCTCCCTGCCCTTACCTTCACTCCAAGCAGGCACACTGAAATACTCCTGCTAGGAAATCTGGACAGGGGCAATATATACAAAATCAAAACCAGGCAAGGGTGAGAACAGCATACAGGTTGCAATTTACAGTAAGCTCAGCCTCAGAGATCAGGTCAGCCTTTAACTTCTAACACTTTTTTTATAAAAAGTTTTAAGAATACACCAACCTGTTTCCCCAGAAAACAGAGAACTGGACTAGACCAGTCCCCTGGGGCTACATAAGTTACATGGCCAGCATAGGGCTCACTCTCTTTGTCAGTCCATATTTTACTCAGTAAGTATTGCAAGCCTGTGGCAAACCTGATCATCCTAAATGAAATAAAAGAAAAAAAATAAAAGCCATATCCCTCTTAAGACAAAAGCAGGCATCCCTTCTTAGATCATCAACTCAGCTGAAGTCACCTGGTGCTTCTCACCTTGCAGAAAATGCAGTCCAATATAATGACCAAACTTAACAACCACAAAACAAATAGAACCACAAAACCTTTCCATGCCTAATCAGTTGCAGAAATGGAAAAAAAATTCCTTGAAATTTACTTACTGGCCGGACTTCCCCAGTGGTGTTGGTATACTGACGGGCCAGACCAAAGTCTAACATGTAGCACTTTCTGTATGTTGAAGGTAAGCGGCCCATGGCAAAATTTGACTAGACAAAGAAGGAAAGAAAAAAATCAAATTAATACCAGCAACTTCGGTAAGACTGGCCATTTGTTAACAAAACTTTGTCATATAGCTCCACATGCCTCTGATGGAAACAAGTCAAAGAGATTAATTTTAAGATGCACCTTAAAAATCATGATTAGAGAATCATCACCTTGTTAAGAAGTTCACTTTGCAGATAAGAGTCTGTGGAGTCTCAAAATAACTAAAATTCACATTAGCTTTGCTAAATTTCAGCTGCTCTGAGAAAGAGCTACACTTAACACCACTAGCTCTGCAGTGAGAGCTCCATCACTTGCATAACAGTCTGGAGTTACCGTAGACAAATGCTTCTGTTCATGGTTCAGCTTCTAGCATGCATTATTCTGCTTAACTCCCAGAATCATCATCCACAGTATTGCATTGCCTGAATCTATCTGAATATTCAGGCATCTAAAAACCACTGAGTTTGCTTCTTAGTAAATAAACCAATACAAGCATATGAAGCAGCTCCTTTTTTTAACCTCCATCCTTAAATTCTGTCCTTTACCATAATGGATGGCTGCTAAAGGATTTGTGGCCAATCACATCAGTGACTGATTTTCAGCTGAATTTGATCATTTAAAAGCAGCTGATTTTAAAAGGAGCAAATGAATCTGCTGGAAGGAAGGTAGTCGGTATAGTATAGCAACAAGTGTTGAGGTCAAGCAGTGAAGAGCTGTAGGAAAAGGACTGGCTTCTACAGAGAAACTTGGAATTACTGTCCTTCACTTAGGCAGATGACCAACACTGTGAGTGTGTTTCTGACACTAGAAACTGTGCTTTAATTTTTTGGCAATTGCTCAGAAAGGATTAAGAGGATGATTTAGCTACGTCAAATGCACGAAGTAGCATTTATTCAAGTGATGGGTCACGGAGCAAGACTTCCTTTCTGAACTCCTTTAACGGTAATAATTGGTTGGGCTCCAAATGACTATTCAGAACTAGATTGCTTCATCACAGGATATTGAGTGGTACAAGTATGACTGACAGCTGCCAACCCACCATGGAGCAGCCTCTGCCAATACAAGCTAGTTTGCTATGCACTTAAAGGAAGCACAATACTATATTACTATTCTGTATTTATAGAAAATAGGAAATGTGTCAGTGGCAGTGTGCAAGGAGACCTAAATGTATCTGCTGAGATCTGCCCATATTCAGACTGTCTTTATTGACTCAAGCAGAACAGACATACAACCAAAAGGAAAATTTTCAAAACAACATACAGGCTTGATGTCACGATGCAGGAATCCCACAGAGTGAATGGCTTCTATTGATTCTAGAATCTGTTTGCCTAATCGAAGCGTTGTGCTCAGCGTGAAAGTCCCTCGAGGCTGACTCCTTCTGAGATCTGCAAGATTTCGGCCCTGAAACAATCAATAAAACACTTAAACCATCACATGAAAACACAGCATTTCACAGCTTCAAGTGCTAACATGCAACCCCAAAAAAGCAGATATGCTACTCAGTCAGGTGCTCACCTTACATCTGCTTTATTTCTTGTATAAGATCTTCCAGTACTTCATTTTATCTTTTAAGTGATGTATTTGCTGATAAGTAGATACCAGACTGTTTTCTTGGGGAATCAGCTGATATACTATTTGTGAAATAGGCACGGCATGGACAGCAGTGCCTCAGACTGCATGAGGCCAGCATCTCCTTATTGTTAAACTCAGACTATGCAGAAGCTGATTTAAGAACAACCTTTGACTGTTCCCTGAGCCTTTTAAAGATTAAGTACAAATCTGGTAAGCAAGGCATGAAGCCACTATCTATTACAGCTCACAGAAGCAGTTTCATCAGAAACTCCCTAGCACACACTGTCTAGTCCAAGCTCAAGCCAGCATTGTTGTGGCAACATCACAATGGGGAAAGTTGTCTTATGAAGAGAATCATACCCAAAATCAGGAGAGGAGGATTTTTCCAGAGACTTTATACTTATTAGGGGCCTCTAGTGGTCTAGTGGTTAGGGTGCAGGACTCTCACCGCTGCGACCCAGGTTCGATTCCCGGCCCCCCGGGCAGATGGAGCTCGTTAGCCCTGTGAGGCAATCCATCTAAGAGAAGGTCACTCTAAACAAACCTACGTTCTGAGACCCTCACTGCCACTGTCCGAGTTTCACTCGGCCCCGGCAGATGAACCTCAGGATTAAAGGGTGGGCTCAGTTCAGCGCACGCTGTGTCTCACCTAAAAAATCCACTGCGCAGGCTCGAAGGGTCAATGACCTTTCCCAAATCTTCGCTTGCGAAGACTGGCCATTATTATACTTATTAAAAGAAATTGCTAATTTACCTCCACTTAAAGAAATTTCTAGGGAAAACCAAAAAGGCTACCAGCTATGCATGGAAATGAAGACAATTCGGCAAAATAAAAAAAAAAGGAAAAAAGGACGGTGTAAATGCAAGAAAAATCCCAGTGTTCTAGTGATAATAGATGAGTTCAAACAAAATTCCCAACAGAATATATATAAAAGATTCCAAACATCTGATGAGAAAACACAGATTGCTCTTCAAAGCAGTGAAATGCCATCTATTCATCCTTCCATTTCCAGTTCTCAAGTTATTTAGAGACATTAAGATGCCAACTGCAATTGGCTCTTGAAGCTCTAGTCTCTCAAAGTGGTTTGACCCATGTTTCACTTCAGGGCTCTGGACCCTTCAACAACCACACCTGACACAGGTCAGCTAATAAGTACAACCAAGCCACAGCAGCTGGCCCAGGTTTGCTCCTTAACATGAACAAAATAAGACTAAGTCACTTCTCTAGTGCTTAACTTCTTAAATTTCTGTGACAGTTTACTAGAGCCAGCAGAGTTTTGTCATTGCTATCCTGAAACATCCAGGTTATTGAATTGACAGCAGATCTTTCTTTCCACTGTAAATCTCTTCCCTGGACACCAGCTCTCTTAACCAATGGTAACATGGAAAGCAAGGCAGATTTTTTCAGAGCTGCACACTGAAATGTGCCATAAATTTCCCCAGCTGGTTTGCGAGATGGTCTTAGACATCTGCTCTCCAGAAACAACCCAAGGCACGTGAATATTCAATACAACTACCAGGAAAAGACAGAAAATGAGCATTATTTTCCAAATAAACACCATCAGGCTGGCTATGAAACAGAGCAGATGCAGAGAATTGCAAAACTTAGAGTGGAAGCCTCAGTCCCAATGACTGAAAAGAAAGGGAGAACTGTAGTACACAGCAGTCAGAGGGACACACAACAAACCAGGTCTCAACAGGCCTTGAAGCTGAAGAAGAATTTTAGCCTGAAGGGTAAGAGTGCAAAACTAGCTAATGCTTTATGTATCAATGTCTTCATTTGCAAATAATGAAATTATTTTTAGCTCTATCTACTCTACGTGCTCAGTTACATAGCAAAAGAACAGGCTAGAAAGTAAAAGAATCCATGCAGAGAAGTTTTTTGCCAAGGTAAAGTCCCTTTCATTATGCTTATTAAGGACAGGACTGGGGGTTAGAAACCCTGTTCTTCCATGAGCTCCAGATTAGCCCTTTCAAGAATCATATTCGCACTCACACTGCAGCAGCACTAATAGCCAGGATTGTTTAGAGAGCAAAAGGACTTTTTCTATCCATAACTGCAGTTGGGATGCCAATGATGCATAAAAGACAAACCCAAGCACCAGGAATTTAGTGAGTTTATACATTTTATATGCCTTGCAAAGCAGAACTATACTTCAAAAAAACTGGAAGTTTATTTTAAAGAAGTACTGGGGTCTGCTGGTATCTGTTTTACTTCCTCTACTGTCTAGCAGTAGAGTCACCATGTGGTAGCTACCCAAGTATTCACCCATACTGAATATCAGCAGTGTTCAAGCAGGAGTAAACACTTCCACAGCAAAAGCCAAGCTACTGCTGTTCTTGGGAGAGACAGGGGAGACAGAGATCGTGGCCTTTCATAGAGAAACTGTGCTGTTCATGTGACACCACTGGCTCTCACCACACTCCGCGCTCTGATACAAGACAAGTATTTTGAATGCTGCATCACAGTGCTCAGCAGGAAATATTTCAAACAGCTGCCACTGCTGCACAATACTCTGGGTTGCTCCTGTGAGCATTCTGAATGGAGTGCTTTTCCCAGAAAGTTGTCAGAAAGCCATCTCAAATAGAAAAGCAGAGCTATGAAATATTTTAGTACATCTTGTCAACTGGAGCCATTCTGATGGATGTCACAGCAACACCACCCCTTCCCCTTGTCTCCCATTCCACTCTTTTTCTGTGTACAACGAAGTCTTTAGAACGGTGTTTGGTCTTATTCTCTCATTGCAAATCCTTCGCTGTGATGCCATCTCTATGGAACAGAAGAGAGAGGTGAAGAACAGAACTCACCTGAAGCTGCATAACCACATAATTGAATTTTTCGTTTCTTCCACAGCCAATAAATCTGCAAACATGATCCTTCCCTGAAAAGAAACAGAAACATACAGAATGGAACTAAGACAACAACCCTGTGATCATGATTTTTAGAAAAATGGTTTCTGACCCAGGTCTGGTAAACATAAAGTGGTATCACATAAGGAGTTTTGCAGAACAGACTGATTATGTTTCTCCTTCCCAGTCTCGTAGCTCAGTAGAATACTGACATTTAACAAGAAAGCTGCCTGTGACATGGCCGTGAGTGGAAATCAGTGTCAGGGTTCCTCAAATCCTGACACAGGCCACAAGTGAGAGTGTGACAAACTGCAGTTTATACCACCACGCGCACGTAACAACACCACAGCTACCACCATCCCTGAACTAAAGTGTGGGTAACACACATGACCACATGGTTTCACAAGTTCACTGGTAGCACAGCTCAGCTTTACTCAGTAAATGCTGACTTGTACACACCACCACTACACCTGCCTATTAGCACTGCTTACCCTGAAACAGCTAATCTAATGTTACTTCAACGTGGACAAACCCTGATTTTAATAGTCAGAGACATCTGGAAAAGAAAGATGCCCATGGAAAAAATCCATTGAAACATTCGAGCAATTCCATAACAACAGAAGGAAATAATATAAGTAATTCTGTGTCAAGTTCTGGCATGGTGTTAGAAGTACATACTACACCTATTTAGGCAAAATAAAACGAAATCAGCCACCTCACAATACGCAGCTAGTCCTCAGGGAGGGAGCAGAGGCTGTGGTTTCAGACCCTGACATGTAATGGATTTGCGATGGTTTGCTCTCTGGATTATCAGAAGGGGAAGTATGAGGCATGTGTTCCCCTAAAAGCAGACTACTGATAACAGAGCAAAAGTTGATGCACACCACAATGGTGAACACTTGGTTCCTGGTGAGGTTTCCAAGCAGGGAAGGGGGTGAGAATCACTGCATAGCTTTGCCCTATATGCCTCTGTAGCACTTGAGCAATGGTGATTTTTAAACCAAAGCTTATTGTTTGATACTTCCCAATTTTAAATAAAAAAAGGAAAAACATGAACACATACAGTAATCAGTAACTGCATTGCCCTCAGGGCCCTGCTATTGCTGTCATTGCACCATAGGTCTGGGGCATCAGAAACTGCTGGGGACAGCAAGATATGACAGAATAGGGATGTGGAGGGCAGCAGGAGACAAAGAAGCAGCTTTCTCACTAGAGAACCAGAGCTTTGACCAGAGCAATAGATACAGCTGTGGAATATGGAGCTTCATCCCAGGACTCCTGGTAAGAGCATCAAGATTCCGCCCTCCAGGGCCCACCAGTATCCCACAACAGAACACCCACACTCTCTCTGCTACCACAGGGAGATAACAGAGCTGCTGGCAACCAAAACTGGAGGGACAGAGACTCTGGCTACTCCTTAATCCCTTCAGAAGAACAGGCTTCAAACAAACAAACCAACCAATCCTAATATCCACCAACATCTGGTTAGATGAGCAGTGTTTGCAGAGCCTTCATGTCTCTGGCATGGACATTATCCAGTTTCAGGGCTGAATGCGCAAGACCATGCTGAAACCATCAAGGAACGTCACAAACCACCATATTTCAGGAAAAAGATATTGAGAGATTAGGAGAGTACCCCCTTCAGTATGTGTCAGGGCAGCCTGCACGCTCTTCCCTGATCCTTGTTTCTCACATAACAAGCCCATGGCCTGTGTGTGCCCATGGGTACTGGGTGCCACTGGTTTCCTACTATTGGCAACTTCATTGTGAATTCAGTGTTGATTTTGACATACAGGTTTCTGGTTTTCTGAGGGAAGTCCTTGAGATACTGCGTGGAAATACCAGAATTCCTGCCCTGGGCATTACCAAGACTCAACTATCCCACATATCTTCCTGCCATGGGTCCCAATATGCTGCTTGCCGACGTGACCCTCAAAGCCAGATTTGTGGCTACAAAGTAAACATATCTGAATAACCTCAGAAAGAATGAATTATATTTCTTTAGGAGTTCATGCTACTTCTGTGCTTCAGCAAACTGGCCATCTACACAGGTTTCAGACAGGATGGGCAGGTCAGTGCAAGCCCACACTCAACCCAGACATGATTCTCAGATTTGCACAGACCAGCCTGGCTTACTTACAGACACTGAGTTTCACTCGGCTTTGTTTGCCTTTCAGAGCACCAGGAGATGGACGTTGAGGCAACAGCCAAAATGATAACTGTTTCTAGTTACAGTCCAAGCTATTGTGTGGTAAAAAAGGGTAAAATAGTAATTTTTTACACCCTTTTATTGTTTTAGATGATTGCAAAGCACGGATAGGCAGGACACCATGTGCTTTTTATTGCTGTAAAACTAGACAACAACACCTCTGACAGGTAGAACCTGGCCATCTAAATCACTAATTTCAGCAGAACAGGAATGATAGTGTCCAATTATATGACTCAATACACATCCTTGCTAATTTGATACTTCCTCTTGTGATTTCAAGTGTATTTCTGAGACCTTTTGGGTTTGGTTTTTTGTGGGTTTGTTCTGTGTTTTTTTAATCAGTTTCCTCCATAGTACTATTGTTTTCTGGATCACACAATTTTACCAAAAGAAAAAGCATTTAAGTTTTTAGTTCATTATCTTTGAGAATTGTTTGCATGTTTAGGATGGCAACATGTTTCCACTTTCTATAATTTTTGAAAATGATTAATTGACTGACAGTTCTGGATGACCTGCATCCCAAACCGACTTGATTTTATACTGAATCCTCCTTTCCAGCCTAAAATGGGCTTGGATCTGACCTGTTGGTCTTGGGAATTTAGGCGCTCTCTGGAACAGCTCTCCCATGCACTACTCTGCAACACAAGCAACACCAGGAAAATAAGAAGAAAGGAGGTGAGGGAAAACTGTGCCAATTTCTGCATGAAATAAAAAGAATATAACAAAGTGTAGAGAAAGCAGGCCATATTTAGAAGTAGTGCATATACAGGCAGCTGGTCATATGGATGGGATAAATGCTTGCAGCATCAAACCCTTTGGATTCTGGAAGCTTTTACCCATCTTTCATCTAAAGGAGGCAGCAGATTACAACTGTTTGCTCTCTTGGAACAGTTCATGCCATGCTGAAGTAGCAGATGGAGGCTGACAGTCAGGTGTGACTTAGGGATTCCTGCAGATCAGTCCTGAGGCTGATCAGAACACTGAAGCGCACAAGAACAATCGTGTTAATAACCTCCTGTGCAGCCAGGATGATGGAACTGTCATATTTCCCTTTAAGGCAGCAGGAAATAGCCCCCTCTTCTCATACATGCCCTCCTCAAGCATGGAGATCATAGCACAGAGAGCATCAAAGCATATTTTAACCCAGAAAAGAAAGAAAAGGGTGAAAAAAAAGTTTTTTCAAGGTATGTCTAGTATGGGAAGCCTCATAACTATTTTACTGCACTAACTGCTAGATGACACTTGCTCCTTTGCTAGACTATTATGCTCAACAGCCACCCTGATATTACAGAGGATCAGAAGTTATACCATAGAAAATATGCTCTATATCTGTATTTGTTAATTTCTTAAACCATACAAATATCTTCCAACAAAGTAAAGAACAGAGCAACAGATTATAAAGAGTTTTGTCCTGTTAACTAACACTGGAGGAATAAGTCAGCCTGATGCTGACTTGAGAAAAGTTTCAGGGTGTTTTGTTTCACAAGCATTTAGTTAAGGCAAAATTTTAATGTTCAGCCATAGGAAAATATTCTTTCTACAGCTGTCTTTTAACTACAATGAACATAATAATCTCCCACATAATATTGGGTAAAAATTACAAATATTTCAGTCACCAAAATGGTCTTCACCATCCTTGTTCTGAAGAAACTTAAAAATTACAGTCTATAATTATGTTCTCGTGTATAAAAATAACTTCAAGTATTTGGAAAACCCTTCCACCCTATGATAGATACTCATCACCTTGTAGAGATATGATTAAAAGCCCCATTTTAATACTTTAAAACTTTCATTACATGAAAAACTTTCATTACACAGAACTTAAGAAAACTAAATTATGATCCTTTTTTGAGTCTATTTTTTCACATGGATGAATTTCAAACTGCTGGACACCAATATTCATTCCAATCTTCTACTCCTTTAAGTTCTTAAATATTCTTCATGTATTTTCAATATAGCAATGAAACTAATAAAATAAATACTAGGAAAGAAATATGTGACATTATCATCGCAATTTGAAGTTGATTTTTTTTTTTTTACAGACTCCATATTTCCTGTGTTTTCACCTGCAGACAAGCAGTAACCACTCTTCTCCACAAAGGAGTTAAAAATTTTAATCTTTTTATTTTATGCTAAAATTTTGTGATTCATCTCCATTGATTAGCTGTCTCATTCCTAACAGTCCACCCAAAACACTACAGTAACTTCTACTGCACAGATTATCATAAATCTCAGTGCAATTGTTACTCTTATTACTGTTACCTTACCACTTCCTGCATTTTTCTCCTGCACAAGACCAACACCGACATAACAGCAGGAATTCAGCAGTGCCCACCAGGATGGTGGCAGGGAAAGGAGAATGTAACATTAACAAAAAGTATCAGAGCATTGGGTTTGTTCAGCCTTTAGGAAGGCAATAGAAGGGAAACCATCTGCTGGTTGGAGCCACCAAATAGAAGAGCGCTGATAAGATGGAGTTTGACTTTTTCTCAGAGGCTGTCCTGGTTTCAGCTGGGATAGAGTTCATTTCATTCCTAGTAGCTGGTGCAGTGCTTTTGTATTTAGGATGAGAATAATGTTGATAACACAGGGATGTTTTGGCCATTGCTCAGTAGTGCCTACCCTAAGTCCAGAACTTTTCAGTGTCCCTGCTCTGATGCACAACAAGACAGGAGGGAGCACAGATGGGACAGCTGACCCAGACAGGCCAAAGGTATGTTCCATACCACAGAATGTCATGTCCAGTATATAAACTGGAGGGAGTTGGCCAGGAGCCACATATTGCTGCTTGGGAATGGGCTGGGCATTGGTCAGAAGGTGGTG